TTTTTTTTTTTTTTTTTTGATAGGTCCGGACATTTTTGCACCCCGGGGACCGGTCCGGACAGTCCGGTGTCCGGTGATGTCCGGATCACCGGACAATCCGGACCGGTCCAGACACTGGTCCGGAAGACAGTCCGGAAGTGTCCGGGTTACCATGATTTTGACACTATGAAAGCTTAACCTGGGGAAAAAAAGAGCATTCTCACATGATCTAATACGATAGTGGATGAAACTAGTCCACTTTGCGACTAGATTGTTTGCAGCTAGAGAGCACAAATAGCCCATTGGAGAAAACCACATGGCCAACTCACTTTGCTAATTGGCATTTCTGAACCTATTGACTGTAGTTAAAAATTTTACTGTGAAGTTCAGTCCACCACACCGTCGATCTTTTTTACGATGAGGAGATGGCTTGTAGTCCATACAATCTCATTTGCTTTTTCTCCAACCCTCAACGCAAGTAGCAGATCCCCTTCGTATGTCTATGAGATTGAGTCCCAGATTACCCTAGAAGCAAAAAAAAAAAAAAAAAAGTAAAAAAAAAACAGAAAAAAAAGAAGCAAGCAAGCATATACCAAAGTTGCACGAGGGTGGTGAGCATAAGGATCCCCTACAAGAAAGCATAATAGCATAGTACGCATACCCATGCCCGTTCGTGCTGTCTTCAAACCATCCTCTCACACTATCCTTCGATAGTAATCGCAGTGTCAACTGAGTTCTCAGATAATCATCCCACGGCGCAATCTGCATCATGCAACAACCACCACACCCATTATATATATAATATATCCAGCTCTTTTTTTTTTTTTTTTTTTTTTTTTTTTTAATTCCCTTCGCATCTGTTGCTGGGCCGGTTATTGGAGCTGAGTTAAGAGCAATCTTTCCATGCCCCGACTTCCACAATTAAGCTTGTTCCAATCTGGAAATCTTGTGTTATTACATCTGTCTAATATCCCACCTCTACAACAACCTGGTCTTTATAAAAAGAAAAAGAAAAAAGAAAAAAGAAAAAAAAGATTACCTTTGAGGCTTTTTTTTTTTTTTTTTTTTTTCTCGATTTATGCGTGTCATCCTTGTGCAGGGGCCATGCTAATCTTCTCTGTATCGTTCCAATTTTAACAGATGTCCCGAAGGACACCTTTGAGGCTTTGACAACAATGTTGATTACCTTTGACATAATGCACTTCAAGTTTCGATGGCCCCCCAATTTTTTTTTTCCGATGTACTCTCCATTTTTTTTTTCGATGTCCTCTCCGTTTCCTCCTAATTTCGATGTCCTCCTGGGCCGGTTATTGGAGAGCTGAGTTAAGAGCAGCCCAGATTCGGTTCTGGTCAGGCCTAATCTGGTCTATAAGTATATTCGACTAATATATTGTATAATACTATAAGTTCTAAAGTGGAGTATAGCCTGTATAGGTTGTACTTGTATTGTATAAGCTACCCCTGGTGGTGGATGAATCTTAACCTAACCATGGTGGCACCCGGGTAAATGAAAACCTGTAGAGGTTCGGAAGTGGGAACAACATCAAAAGCGAGGAAATAATTCATTTCTTCTAAAGCAATGAATAATAATGTCACATACACGTGTGTAATATGTGTGTATGGCTTCCATAATCTTATCTAATGTGCTATATCTAATCAACACATCTGATGAATTGAGTATACAATGCATAGCATAGACTATTAAATTGTATGTTTGATGTAGACATGCTCCTATGGGATGTCTTGGCGATGGCAAGAGGATTAAATTTTCCCTTGGGCCTGCAACCCTCAAAAAAAAAAAAATCTTTGAAAGACAGGAGAACCCACAAAAAAGAGAGGTCTTTGGGAACCAATGAACTTAGAGAAATCATCCGTGCTTATCTCCGTTGACATTCCTAAGATGCCCATTCAATCGCAGGATGTGCAAAGCATATAACAAAGACGTGAAGAACTGCGACATCGACAGAGGAAGTCCACCACAGATGCATTGTGAAGCAAAAATTACCAAGACAGCTTATGACAGCGAGACTCCCCACCAATAGAGAGAGCAGCCCGATAGACAAAGCCTCAATCCCGGTGGCTCCTACGGCCACCAGGAAGAGGTCTTGCAGAAAGGCTTTTATTAAAAAAGAAAACGGAAAAAAAAGAGTGAGATCGTTATGACAGAATCCACAGAAAAAAGGAAACGAAAAATAAAACCAAAACGGAGGTGGTCAGAGAACAAAGTCGCAGCAGCTTGAAAGCGAGAAAAAAAAAACACCTCGTCATGCAGGAGACAAACTTGATTGAGGAAAGGCAGGATGTGCGAGAAGATGCCACACACACACACACACACACACACACAGAGCTGTCTCTTATACACATCTAGATGTGTATAAGAGACAGGCGTAGGGTCGCGCTGGCTGACTGAGCTTTTATTGCGCAGGATATTGACGACGGTCAATATTCGGCTATCATTGCACGTTGTCAGTCTGATGGGTTGTTGCCTTGTT